CGGTTTCATTCGCAAAAATTTTTCCCAGTCTGTAGGTTGTCTTTTTGTTTTACTTATGGTTTCCTTTGCTGTGCAGAAGCTTGTAAGTTTCATTAGGTCCCATTTGTTTATTCTTGCTTTTGTTTCTATTGCTTGAGTAGACTGTAAGGCTTGGAGTCTTAAGGGGCACCTGAACATTTCCTAGGAAAGACCTAGGGGGTTTGGGAAGCATAGGTCACTGTGTTCTTGTTAATTTTGGCTTAAATTGAAAAAAATGAGCTGTATATGGTCTGAACAAAACTTTTGCTAGTGAAATGAGACTGAATTATTCAGTTCCAAAGAATAAAGGGACATTTTGCTCCTCTGGCCACAAGGAGTCCTCAGGCAACTGAAGACCTCGTGGAAATGTCTGCGGATCAGTCCTCATGATGTGCAGCGGTCCTATAGGGGAGACCCACCACGACCATTAAGTACTGCTCTTGGAGGGGGGTCATGGGGAGGGGCACGACAAAGGCTAATCCCCCAGCATTCCCAGCACCCATGATGGTTTAAGGCTGTCATTGGGAGAAATTGAGCCACATAAAAGAATTTGACTCACCCAAGGGTAACCCCTTGGGGAGCGAGACTCAGAGCAGCACACGTGTGATCCACCACACTGTCCTCAGAAAGTTGTTCAGATCATGTCTCTTATCCCATATCTGAAACTAATACTGGGAAATTGTGCCTCAGGCCAAGCAACTCCTATTTAAAGAGTCACCTATGGGAATACCAGCTGGGTTTATGTGTGCTTGTGAGTACTAATTGGAAACTAAAGAAAATCCAGCCCTGAAATGGCCAAGTTGTTGTTGTTTTTTGACACTCCAGTATTGAATTTTGAGCATGCAGTTAAAGCCGGCAGTCTTCTGGATCTGTGCTTGCAGGTGTATGGGGCCTTCCTGGGACAGACCCTTCCCTGCTCTAACTCCTCTCTGGAGTACCCAGATAATAGTATCTCATGCATATTTCCTGAGTTCTTCAGATGCCAAAAAATCATCACCAAATGGAAGATATTAACGCTTGATGATCATATACCCTTATCACATACCCTGGGATGCCCCTCCCTTAACTGGCCTTTAAAAATGTTCTGCTGAAACCCTTTGGGGAGTTTGGGAACAGGGCGGTTTGGGCATGAGTTACTGGTTCTCCTTGCTTGGCCCAGCAATAAACCTTCCTCTGCTCCAAACTCTGATGTTTCAGGTTTTTTTTTTTTTAACCTCACTGTACATCAGGCCCATGAACTTGCATTTGGCCACACAAGGTCTACTGGAAACAACAGTGGTGTTTTTCTCTTTCTAAAATTAGATTAACAAAGAAAAATATATGTAGGGTTAGCTCCATGGATTCTTTGAATTGGAGAAACATCTAAATTGTTAAAATTTTTAGAGAGCTCTCATCTTAAACTATTTCACCTATTTTAATTGGTATACAGAAGCCCCCCAAAACTTTAAAAGTCCAGATCTTCTAGAAGCCCCTGGGAGGCCAAATGGATTAGATCAAGATAGGAGAGGTCTCAGGCAGATGACCCCTTGGTGGATCACCTGAAGTTCTCATGACACCTGATGAACTCTTGTAAAAGAACAGTGTTGACTGGTGTCACTGCTGCACCCCGTCCCGTTTACCTATGTAATTGCCAAGCCCCAACCCCAAAGGGGTTCACAGTTTGGAAGGCACTAGCCTGCTGTGACTCCCCTTTGCCGGGCAAAGCAATAAAGCTGCTCTTTCCGTTGCTCCCAACCTTTGCCTCCGAGTTTGAATTCACTTTTTGGGGTGCAGAGGCTGATTTTTTGGTAACAGTAAATGAGAAGAGCTTTTAGTAAACTCTTTAGGAATAATTGTGTTCTGGGAATGTCTGTATGATATCTCCAGATTTCGTAACTTGGAAGAATTCATTCACTGTGTCATTTCAAATAGGATACTGGAACATTAATTGCTGGGCCTTCTTAGGAGAGGAAAACTAAAGTGTAAGTTTATCAATCAGAAAATGCTGATATAACAAACAGTTTACTACTACTTCTTAGTGCTCACTAGAGATTAACATGTTAAGGTTAAGAATTGTCAAGGAAACATTTCAGTATGCAAGGGCAGCAGGATGTGTGTTTTCAGCAAAGAATGTGTGAGGAGTGAAAATGCATTTTGTTCAAGGAGAAAAGGTGGTTTTGTCCTAGATAGAGCTGGTTGTTTCTGAATATAGAAAGTTGTGAAAGGTTTGTGGAAAAGGAACACTGAGTTTTGTGCATGGTCAAGATTGGCTAAGATTGAACTTAATAAGAAAATGAATTTTAAGGGTAAAGCAGTACAAAACCTGAATTTGGTTCTGAGAGGACAGAGTTTTCTTAAAATATTGTACTGATTGTGAGTTTGTGTCTAAGTGATCTGTACTTGCTGTTGTGATCTTTTATAGTTACTTTGGTTAAGTGAATGGGTATTGTTTCACAGTGACCTGTGATTGTGTTTGGCCAAGTGTTTTAAAACTTTCTGGTATTTTTGACAAAGTTTCCAATGATCAACTTCTAAATGAAGTTCATTTGACTTCCAGCTAACTGTCAGGTGTTCCAAAGGGTCCTTAGAACATCTCAAAATATTTATTTTCTCTCCATCTCGAGAGAGGAACATTAAACTAATTAGGTTTATCTGGTATGTTAAATGGGAAGCATTGTTAAATTCGCAGTGATAAAACTTCTTAGGCTGTCATATGGGTAAATGTTATTAATATACACATTCTGGAAACTATATGGAAACCCTAAAATATCAGTCATAATTTTAGTGCATGTCATAGCAGTAACCAAGTTTCTTTTCAATTGTATTGTAATCAAAAAGCTCTTAACCTTGACTTTTAGTCTTTTGTCATTTACAGCTATTATGGACAATTAACCAAATGTTTGGTAGAAATGAGGGTAATTTTAGAAAAAGATTGTTTCAGTGAACATTACATTCTAGTTTTGTTAATTGAAGTCTGTATTTACTGGCTAAGATTCATTTCCCAGATAGCTCCTTGTAAAATTTAGTTATTAAAAGGACACAGTTTCTGAAGTTTATCACAGTAATCTAACTTTGGATGAAGACTGGACTCACCATGACCTAAACCAGATTGTTCATAATGGAAGAGACATGAGATAAAGGGCTCCTTGCAGCCACGTTGGAAGGGCCTCTCCTGAATGAACTGAAACTCTTATTTTTGACACCCGATTTCAACTAAGATTAGCACTACCAGATCAGGATGAGAAGAGGACATCTGAAGTAGACAGCTGACCCAAGATGCTAGGACTAGGCCTGTATACCAATTCCTTTGACAATTTCTGTTTTGCTTATGAACCAAATGCATTTCTTGGGCTCACTCATTATGCACATTTCAAAAATCAGTCCAGTTGTTGGGTTTGTGGCCAATTACCTATGTCCAGTACTCTCAGGTTGCCTTGGTGGATTTCTCCTCTCCAAGGCTTGAGCTGGATGGTCCTTAGAAATTTTACTTTAAAAGAAAGTCTAAAAATGACTGTAATTCAATTTTTTAAAATGTTAAAAAAATAAAAAAAATAGAAGAACGTCTAGGTGGGAGGGTATAGTTTTCAAGTGGTAGAGTGCATGCTTAGCAGCAGGAGGTCCTGGGTCCAAGCCCCAGTACCTCCTCTAAAAATAAATGAATGAATAATAAACCTAATTACCTCCCCCCTCAACCCCCCCCAAAACACCCAATTTAAAAATTAAAAAAAGTAGCACCATGAAAGCTAATGTTACCACAAATATCACTAAGACCCTTTTCACCCAGCCAATTAACATGCCTGTTCTGGCTTTTATATTAGATGTTGTTTATTGGGTAGTTCCTAACAAGGCTCAATATTTATGGAACAAGTTTATGACTTTGGCTTTCCCCATGTTAGTTAGGGTGATGCACAACTGGTTTCCCCTGGGCTCAAGGTCACTTACAGGCAGCCTTGGTAACAGCCCCGGCCAACCATCAATCTGCCTTCAGTGCAGGCACGTTGGTTTCTATCAGTTTTCCAATGGCATGACCATCTGGCCATATTTGTTAACCCACCTTATGACCCATGAAAAGTCAAATATCCGGTTTGAACAATCCTGTTCCCACTTAAGAGTAAACATTAGGAAAATGGTTTGGTTCAGGATTTTGACTTAAATCGTTGCTAATGTAATGACACTTGCTCCCACTACCAATTTAGTTTGCAGAACTTGTAATAGTCTCTTGCCTCTCATGCTGTCACCTGCTTGCACTAAGATAATCATGTCTGAATGACCCCAAACTATAGATCACATCTAGAGTTTTCTATAAAATAATGGACATACACAATGCACATGAGGAAAATTAGCCTAAGTCCCTTACTGGACAACCTAGAATTCACTATCAATCCTTGCCAAACATTCTGCTAGTATAACCTCCCCCCCACAACCCCAAAAGGGAGAACTGTGCTATTAGGACCTGGAATCCAGGGACATGATGGACACTGGGGCAGGCAAGCAGCCACACTAGATCTGGGGAGTAAAATATTTCATCACCCAATGCTTTCTATCAAAAGATTAATGATCAACAGAGGGAAACTGTGTAATACATGTTTTATGGCAAGACAAGTACAATTTAAACAATTCTCCCCACATTTGGCCTCCCTCTCCCCACACTGCATTGTGTATCTGCATTATTGACCAAAACTTCCTCATCGGCAGAATGTCCACTCAACCATAAAGAGCCCCATTCACCTAAGACAGCTCCTTAAAGACAACATTCCTTCTTGATAAGGGGTCACAGAGTGCGCAGATGTGGATTACGGAAACTGTCAATACATCACTTGATGTACAGCCCTGTTTCAAAAAGCTTCCATGTCTTGACCTCTAACTGGTGGAATAGTTCTGAGCTTTCTGAGATGCTCTTCTTGGGTTGTAATCCTCAAATTTTGTTCAAGTAATTTTCCGTTTCTTCCTTAAATCGGTTGATTTTTCATCATTACAACTTAATTACCTCATAATCTGGCACATCTTAAGGCACTGTTAATACTTTCAACTCAGTCTCACAGCCAGAGGGCCCCATGAGCCAAAACTGTAGCAGAGCTGGACTTAAGGGACCAGGAGACAATGGTAAGTGTGTTTTCAGCTCTTAAGCTGGGCCTGGCACACCTTCACCAACTGCTTAGGTAACAACTTGAGGCAACTTGTGACAGGAGCAGAGGGAAGGCCCATTTAGGGGTGCACACTGATGACAAACACAAGTGGGATCAGATCACCTGGTTTATTAGGTCGAACACTCCAGAAGCCCTAGTGTTGGTTTCCATCATTACCTGCAGGGCAGTGGGCACTACTTTTGGAGTCTAGAATATGTAAGGAAAGGGTCCATTAAGCTGCTTGCCTGGGACCTAAAAGACCCAATAGTGCTAACTTCATCCACGGCAAACCAAGAAAATGGTTCACTCTTCCTGATTTGGGTTTGAAAACGGAGAGTGATCATCAGGGAAACCAGAAAATTCCATCTTGAAGCCCAGAAAAAATAAGTGTTAGGCATTTCCCCGAGTCAGAAATGGCACAGGGGCTCAGCAGCTACCGCTGTGATAATAGGAAACACCCATTTGGCTTAAAGGGAAAAAGCCACCTTGGTAACAAGCTTTGGTCGTCCACAGGGTATGGAACCAGAGGAAGCTAGCAAGGTCAGAGCCTGAGTGACCAATCCTGATAGCGCAGGACTTCGTCACAGATGGTGCCTGGTCCCTGAGGTCTATGAACACCCTAAACTTACTGAGTTTATGGGTGTTTTCCTGGGGAGAGACCCTCGCTTTCTCATAGATCCAAAAATAAGCTAAACCCCTGAGCTAGAGAAAAGCACTAAGCCAGTTGCAGGCAGAGATAAGGAAGCCACCAGATACACCTAGAGCCAGCCACGTCTGGGAGCTTGCCAAGCTGTCACTGAAGTTAGAACACGGACTCACAGCACAGACAACCAAGCAATGTTTTTGCGTGATTCTTTCTAGTTGTATTTCAAGTTCTTTCCAAAACAAGGCTCTGGAAACAGCCAGGTTCAAGTATGTCCCTGGGCTTGGTCCACTGCTGTCCTGTAGTCATACCTGGGTATTTATTCACCAACATTAAGCCCCTGGGCAGAAGATGGAACAAAATGGTCTCCCTCCTCCATGGCATGAGTCCTTGCTGATCCCAGAGGTGCACGGTGGGCAACACAGAAAACACACAGGAACTTTTTCTTGGAATTGGGGTGGGATGAAAAGTGTCTGCTGTGAACATCACGATCTTTCCCCCGACCCTTCCCCTTCAGTTTCTGAAGATATAGCAGAAAATAATCTTCTCTGAAGATACTGGGTAACAATACCATAAAACAAAAAACACATGCTTCCAATGCGCTGTGCTGAGGAAGAAAAACACAACTTTATCAATACAAATTTACTGCAACTTGGCACCTAAGAATAATAACAAAAAGCAATTTCAAAGAATTAAAATTCCTTCAACAGAAACAATAATTATACCTTCAGATCCTTTTTGAAATTAGTTAACACTATTCTCCCCCCATCTCCAGCTAAATTACCACAGCAACACAGGTTTTTTTGGTTACTCAACTTTTTCCATCCTGTAACTCTTGGGGTAGACAGAGCCCCTTGTCCTAACCAGGCATTCACTGTTCCAAGCACATCTCTATCCATTAGGCTTGGGAATACACCCCTCCCCGCCACCAAGTTATGCTCACACACTTGTAAATGCAAAAAGATCTTTTAAGGGGCAAGGCACGGCCCATCAAAAGTCAGCCCAAGGGCAGTTTTTAGCCCTGCCTCACCTGGGTTTAGTTCAGCTGCCGGATGAGTTGGTTGATGCGTTCACCTCGATAGCCAGGTGAACCCACTTCCTTGAGGAAGCCCACTCTATTCTTGGTAGCATGACGGGCCACTGAGAGCTGGAAAGGGCGCAAGAACCCTGAGATCTCCTGAAAATTCTTCCCCGGGAAGGCAATTTCATGAATGAGGTCTTCCAAGCAAATGACACCAAACTTCCCTAAGAAACATAAGGTTCAGAATCCTTTACTCAACGTTTCCCCAGCATATACTGCAGGCTCTTATTTGCCAGAGCTGGGCACTCTGGCAAGTTCTTGGTGCCTTCTGCTCTGACCCCTAAGATGCGCACTCACCCAGGTGCTCCTCTATCACTGTGTTGTCTGTCAGAGGGACGATTTTATTCTTGACTTTGGCTTGTCCACGTTTCAAGATGAGTTCCCGAACAGACTTCAGATTTGGAAATCTATGTGAGGCAGAATAAAGTACAACCTTAGTAGGCCCCCTGCACACTGCATTACACTGGCCACACAGTCCTGCTGCCTGGCTAAGGATTCTCCCATCCCCTCTCCCCCTCCCCAAGAGGTGTCCTGCAGTACACCCGAAGGAGTTGAAAAACCTAAGCAGCACTAACTATGTAACTATAGGAATTAAAATTTATGGATACAAATACTCACCAGGCAAAGATATTTATTTCCAGGCAAAAATAAAGTCCTGGCTTATATTTTAGGACTCTGACCTAGGTGACCCCACTAAAGAGTTTGAAATTAAATCTAAGTCTTTTTCAGATCTTAATGTTTGAAGACATACAACCCTAGCTCTGCTTCAAGATTCCAAGAATTACTCTCTCCTCTACTAGTCTTACTTGGCCTTAGCCCACAACTGACCAAACCCTGTCACGGCCCTGTTCAGACCATTATCAGTGGCATGGATACCCCCTGATTTACCCACCCTGTGGGTTCTTATTATGGCTGGTGGTTGATTCCTAGTGACCATGATACTCACACCAAAATGCTCCTTCAACACAGCAACACGAGTGTTGGAGAAGAGTACCTGGTGCATCCTAACATTCTTAATATAATCTAACATGAATTCACTCAAAACATACTCACCCCCAGGTGACATAAGGTTCCACTATACGGAGTGTTTTTATGGTCTGAGGGGTTACTTTCACAAAGACACCACTGAAAATCTTATTCAGGCGAAGTCTTCCAATGGTCCTCTGCACAAGTGAACTCACCCCATTAATCCTGAAATCAACAGCAAAAGAATTCAGGCTCTGTCCAGCAAGTACGTATGAAATGTGTGCCATTACTGGGGGTCCAGAGTAGGACACAGACTGTGCCTCACAGATCACTTCCATGTGATGTGGAGCAATACCCGAGGTGCTATGAGAAGAGGACCTGAAATCAAATACCTGACTTTGTGTGTGGGGTTGTACCTGCCAAGCTAAGGAAGCTGGACTTGCTTCTGTGGGCAGTAAAAACTATAGAAGATTTTAAGTAAAGAAAACATGAACAGATTTGTTTTTGACAATCACTGAGGAGCGCATATAAAACAGAAACAAGAGCGTGACACCATACTCCAGGAAATCCAGCTAGAAAGCTGAGATGACAGTCCAGGAGAGATTATGGACAGTGGTGGGAGGCTCATACATATTTAAAACCCACAGGTTTCTGGTTTGGGTGACTGGGTAGGGGAACAGGAGGAGGTGGAGCTGCATGTGTGGGTAGGAACGAGTAAGGGATCAATAAACGTGGAAAATGCTTTCAGTACTCTCCTCAGCACTGAATGTGCTCCATCCACTCGACCTTGCTTCAGTTCCAAGAAGATACCCTGATTCCTCACATCATTTTTTGCATCTATGCCTGGAAACTCCTTTCATGTTAACAGGTCTCAGCTGCAAGTTCCTACTTCAGGGTGTCCTAAACCACTACACACCACACCTCGGCCCCCTTGCCCCACATCCAGCACTTTACCCTCACAGCGATTAGTGTATTTTCACGTCTATTTGCCTAAGGTCTGTCTCCCTAATCTTGGAAGACAAAATCTGTTTTGCTGAGCCGTGAATTCCCAGCACAACTTGCATTAGTGGCTTAAAGCCTATTATCTTATTTCCCTAGAAAGAGTCTAAAGCTGAACCAACAGTTTGCCCCAGCCTCAAGGAATCCGGCAAGTTTCCTACCTTTCGATGCGTACAACAAAGGCCAAGGAATGTTTATCTGGCATTTCCAAGCCATGCGGTTTCACTTCTAGTCGTCTGAGGCGCACCCTGTCACGTAGCTGCCGCCAGGAATCATGCAGGAACCATTCTAGTCGCTTAAACTTGAGCTGTTTTCCTTTCCTCTGCTACAGAGGAGGAAGACCATCACCATTTTATGCCTCTAGTAGTCGTTACTTCCCAACAGTAACTCATTAGTAACTATTTGGGGGGGGGGAATCAGGTTTATTTTTATTTATTTATGTATTTTTAAATGGAGGTACTGGGGATTGAACCTAGGACCGCGTACAAGCTAAGCATACACTCTACCACTGAGCTATACCCTCCATTAGTCACTACTGATAGAGCTTATTTCCCTGTACGTTCCAAAAAGGGAGCCAACAAACATCCTCTATTCTTACATAATAGAAAACCGAGATACCCAAGTAAAGGTGGAGCTGAGAAAACTCAGGAACTACTGGGAAAAGCTCCTGCTAAATAAACAAAAACCCAATTCGTTTACATGCTGTCAACCAATGTTTCCCAACAAGTGTTTATGGAACCTAACACCGTGTTAAGCCTCATAAAGTTCCTGCTTGTTTTATTTCCTGCCTCCAAAATATGCATTTCTCCAAAAACATTTAGCAAATAGCAAAAATTGGTACGTTAAAAAAAAAGTTTTCCTCCAGCTACACAGGCCTTTTTGGCCTCCCAAATCACTTGGTATGAACCCAGAAGGAACAATCTCCGTTCCGCTTTTCCTTAACAAACTCCACTCAGTATCTTGCCAGCAGAAAGGGCTTGATACATACTTGCTAAACAAAGAATATTAAACCTGGTATAATCCAATCGATGGGGGAAGGGAATGTCAGTACCAAATCTAGTTCAATACATGCTGGATAAAACTCACAAAATACAAATTCTTATTCCTTCCTCCTCGTTCCCCACCATTACCTCCTTCTTTTGCAAAAGCGCCTGCTTTGCCTGGGTGGCTTTGAGGGCCTGATAAGCCTTCCTCTTTTTCAGGAGATTTTCCGGAACCAAAGGGATTTTTTTCCTTGGCCTGATAAAGAAAAGGGAGACCAGTGATAGCATTTAGGAAACAAATCCGTCAATGGAGTTCTAAACGATATACTGGGTTTCAGGAAACACTGCCTTCAAATTCTTAAAGGCTGAGGCTCCCCCGAAACCTGTCGTTCCTGACATCAGTCCTCAAAATGAACCCCTACCATTCCCTCGTCCCCAAAGCCTTAAAAAGTCAGGAACCCCTTAGCCACTGATCCCCGTGTATGTCAACGGAACTTTTACTACCCCAGCCTTTTACAGACACCATCAGCAATGAGATTCCGCCCCGTGGGGTTGGGGCGGTGCAGACTCAGCTGCAGAATTATTATTTATGTCAGGGTGGGGGAACCCACACTCCAACTCACTGCCTGAAAGTCAATCCTCGCTCCTTGAAGTAACCCGAAATAGACGGCGGCGCCCTCCGCCCGCCCCAACTCTGTGGCTCCTCATTCCTCCTTCTGTAACCTGGAGCCCTTTCTATTCACTCCCTTCAGTCTACAAGTATCCTTATCTTCCACCACCAAGAAATAAATTCTGTGGATGGCACCGGATGCTCAAGACGCCACGCCAAAGATTCCCAGTCCCAAACACTCACTCTTCCTCCGCCATTTTTCCAACGATGCGGCTACTGCTCATGCGCAACTCCACGGCGTGAGGAAGAGAGGAACCACTCTATGTTCACTCAACCATAGAGACGTCCACTCTAGCTCACGGCAGGGCAACTGGGGCGGGGCAACAGGGGCGGCCCCGCGCCCTCTTGGCCGCAGTAAACCGCTGAGGTATTGCTAACCCCGATTCCTGCCAAAAGCTGGACAAAGCCTCCTTCTCACTACTTTGAAAGTTTTTAGAGCCGTATCATCTTCAAAACCCAGCCCTTTTCATTTCAGTTGTAGTCTCATAATGCTGGAGGCCGGGCTATAAACATCTAAACGCTTCCCACAATGCACCGACTTCCGGCAGAGGGTGGGCGCCGCTCTTCTGGCTTCCGCTGGGCTGCGGGTCTCCGAAAACTAGACGCGCGGTCTTGGGACAGCTTTCGGCTGGTTGGGGAGCGCTGGTTCTACCGCTTTGGCTCTCACGTGTGGGTGGAGATGTATATGGACGACTTAGGATGGTTTAGAAAAAGACAGCTCTGATTACGTAGGCCTGGCTTCGTCAGTGGGTCCCTGAGCAAGTTCTTTAACCCGTCAGTCCCTTAGTTTCCTTTATTCATAAAATGCACATAGTAATGGGTCTTGCCTAATAGCCTTAGAAGAGTTACATGAGCTACTCCTTGTATCAGCAAAGTCTGGTAGTAAGCGGTTAACACTATACTAATTATTCTTGGTGCTGGACCGAAAACTAGAAGTTACAACTTGCCATCTTAGAACCTTCCCTTATATAGTTCTCACCACTTGGAATATGCTTTCTTATTCCCGCGTCTTCATAAAACAATGAAAACTCACGTCTTGTGTTTTCTGGAAAAGTCCAGAAAACCTCCAGAGCAGCGCGTTCAAGCATTAATGTGCACAGGAGTCACCTGAGGACCTTGTTAAAATGCACATTTTTCTTCAGGAGGGGGCGATATTCTGCATTTTAAACAAGCTTCAAAATGAAGTAGATGCTTCAGGTCTGTGGAGTACACTTTCACTAGCAAGGCTCTTGAGTAGTCTATCTTTTTTCTGACTTCCTTCTGCACGAAATTTTTAACATTTCTTCACCATGATCCTAGGAGGGCAGAGACTATGCCTGCCTTGCTCATCACTGATCCTAAGAGAGTCTAGCACAGGTTTTTCAGTCTTGGTACACTACTGGTTGGCATTTTGGGGTAGGTAATTCTTTGTAACAGAGGGCTGTCCTGTGCATTGTTTGATGTTTAGCGGCATCCCAGGCTTCTGCCCACTACGCGCCAGTAACATCCCCACCCTAGTTGTGACAAACAAAATGTCTCCAGGCATTCCCAAGTCTGGCATGGTATGTATATTTATCCTAAGGTCTAAGACAATGTCGTTATTTGACAGTAATTAAAGGCATATCAAGACAATCGTGTTTTGTTTGGCTTTTTCTTTCTCTGATTGGACTGGGTTCTCTGAAGGCCGGGAACTTGTCTCGTCTGCCTCTGAATCTTCTACAGTATCTGTTACAACAGGGGGCACCTGCAGGAGCTTGTTAACCATCTAAGCTCAAGGCATCATATTGGTATGTGCTGTGTAACTAGTTCATCAAGAAAGACAGTGCCAAGTGCAGAGCTTAGTACCTGATGAATAAATTTCAAAGGATAACACAGTCTTCAGAGACACAGACTGTGGTGAGGCTCATTTAATGTACTCACTCTTTCAGCACTTCACCATGTGTCTTAGTGAAAAGGCAAAAACAGAAGGGTCAGCAAAGTGTAAAATATATTAAATAGTAAAGAAGGAACAAAAACAAGTCGGTGTTTTGTAACTTCTGTCTACAGGTGAAAGGTGGGTTCTGTGGTACTGAAGGTATTTCAGAGATATTAACAAGATGATACTCCTTGACTGAAAAACTTGGAGGCAGATTCAGGAGAGGCTTTCCAATACCAGCAGATGGTGCCAGGAGAGTACTTAGTCCTGGTGCCAAAGCCATCATCCACCAGACTGATCCAGAGAAAGAGATGGAGTCCTCTTCAACCCAAAAATGTTCACTGACTGAATACATATTTACTGAGCACTGAGCATATACCCTGAGCACTGGGCAAGATATGAGATTTTTCATTTCAAAGTTAGGTTCCTGAATGAGAATGGGGTGTGGCCACTTACAACCTCAAGAATCTTACTCTTTTTAGCCTGTCCTCATAGGCCTCTGTTCTCTTTTTTCTTGACCATTTCAGCTATCCATCATTAGGGAATGGTTTAAGAAATCATGGAAGACTATGCAATTAGATTCATTAAGGTAGGTCTTTATGTCTTGAAATCTTAGTGGCATTTGTTATTTTTTGGCCTGCTTCTTGACAGTACCCCCATTTCTCTTGCGGACTAACTGCCCCGATCGTGTGCAGTCTTCGGAGGGCAGGATATCAAATCCAAACACTTGCCCTCTCAATACATAAATTGAAGGCGTCTCTGGAAGATCTATTCAACCCCTCCCACCTCCTTGTCAGACTCTAAACTTCTCTCTTCTGGGTTTTGAGTCTTCAGCAGAGTAATGGCAGGAACTGAGGAGGACTGGGGCAAGACTTTTATGGATTTCCACTTACTAGGACCTCCTGGAGTTTTTTTATTCCTGTCTCTATCAAGCCTGATGGTTCTTCAGTCTTCCTTTTAATTCTTAGTCTTCCAATAGAACTTGTTAACCAACAAGATACGTTTCCTGACTATACTACTCCCAGGTATTTGGTTACATTTGAAAAAGCAAGATTCAGAATAGGATGTAAGAGGATAGTTCCCAGTTATTTTGTTATTTTTGTCTTTTACTATAAATGTATTTGTATGTAACAATTTTGGAAGGATATACATGAAAGTGTTCATGAGGGTTATTTTTGGGAAATAGGAGTGAAGTGAGGCCTGGAATGGAAGACTTCCATCTTTGGATGGAAGCCTGCCCTTTGTTTGTTACATATGTATTAGTTTAAGAGCTTGTTAGGGACTTAGGTTCTTGTGATTTGCCTGTTTTACAAACCACTTGACCATGTTTTTTTTTTAAGACTCCCTTTAGGACCAACATTTTACAGTTCTTTGTATTAACTCTGGGATCCCTTTCCTAACGTATTCCACTATAACTTATTTCAGTGTTGTCTGCATTTTGGGGTTATTTGGAATCCTGTTCTTTTTCACTGAAGAGATAATTAAGCAATACCTTCTTAGTGAGGCAAAACCACCACACCTAACACGCCATAATGGGGGCCCCATCTGCAGTTTCTCATCTGCTTCACATCTCTTTCTTGGATTATGACCCTCCTTGCAGCCGAGTTCATTTTCAAGCTTTCCTTATTGCTTCTTCCTAGAGTGACGTGGGGTTACCAGGAGGCAGGTGGGAACGAGCAGCCAGATGAGCCTGGAGCTGGGGAAGACAACACGGACAACGGCTCTTGATCCTGATGAGAAACAAGCAAAAAGAGCAAAAGCGGGAAGGAAAACAGTGAAAACAGGTGAAGGGCAACAGCCATCTGAGGGTCGAGGGTGGACCCAGGAGAGCGCCAGTAGGAAGGAGACAGTGTGTGGTAGGTGAGACCAAATGCAAAATGGAAAAGCCCAAACCTCTTCTGATGTATTTCAGGGATAACGGGAAAATTAGCCTTTTCTACCTTCAACACTTCTTCAGTAAGACTTCATTTTACACCCTAAGAAGTGGAGGGTCAGGACTAGGGCTTCCTATTTATAGGCAAGGAAGCTGAAGCTGAGAATAACTTGCGAGAAGGCATCTGATGACCTGTTAAGTGAAGTACTGGCATGTTTCCAGATTCTGCTGCCAAAGACACCTTCTGCACCCCTACCCTGCTCCTGGCTGTACTGCTTTCCTTGACCTTCACAGACATGACTTTTCCCTAAAGGTCTTGCCTTTGTAAGTGTTTTCAAAGGCCGGCTCCAGCACATGCCTACGAGAAGTATAAATTACAGACTCTTATAAAGGCCTCTTACCTGCAGCGGTGTAGACACAGGCTATTTACATTATGGAATCCACTTTATACTACAAATGTGCTCCTACTGTGTGTGCGTCCGCTGAACCAGATTTCTCCATGTAGTTAACACTGTACAATTCCTTTACCTTCATTCCTGCAGAAAGTATCATACACTTTTTCTCAAACAGAACTTGGGAAACTGCACTAAGAACCATGGACATAAAAGACAGACACTGGGAGAAGAGAGCGCAGTGCTACTGAGAGGCAATCTGGAAGAATTTTAGCCCCAGTTTCTTCTCTCTAGAAGTGTACTTATTTAAGTGCTTGTTTCCTCTCTAGACTGTGAGCTCCTTGAGAGTAGAAATCATACCTGAATGGGCCGTGGATCCCAGTGGCCCAGTGTGTAGCACAGTGCCCCTAAACTGCTCTGAATGTGTCAGGTGCTCAACGCCAGACGCCAGGCGTCCTCCCTCCAGCTTGGCCGCACACTCAGGCTGAAGCCCTGGCCGCAGAACAGCTCCAGTCCTGCCTGACAATGCGGTTTCTGTGCCCCCAGACGGTGGAGTTCCTTTCTTTCCCCCTCTCTTTCTCCCACATCAGGGAGAGCTCAGCCCCTCCCGGGACACGGCTTCCCATACACAGGGCTGAGGGCTTTAACTGTCCTAGGACAGAGTGCCTGGTCTCTCCCCTGGGCAACACCAGACTCTGATCCTAACCAAGTGGCCAGATTATCCTAACTCTTCATGCTTGGGACACACCCACTGCAGAGGGCCTGGAGAGGGGCAGAATAGCATGTTGGACCCACATTTGTCTGAGCAAGGACAGAACCCTGACATCTGGATGCTGCTGCGAGAGACGTTAAAGGAGCCATCACTGACATAACTGTCCTAGCAGTGCTGATTCTCAGTTACTTGACAACAAGCTCCTCTTTACATACTAGCTACTGAAGAATCTTGATATCCGGGCTGCTAGTACCTGAGGGTGAGGGGTGGGGGTGGGAAGCAATTAAACCATAAAGCAAGCAGTATAAGCATAAAATCGAGGCCCAAGAAAAATCTAAGGAGCCTTACACCCTCACCCCGAGAAGTTTCCCTGACAATGTGGGTAGAGTCACATCTGTGAGGGCAGGAGCTCAGATGGGCCCTGTGGGGCTCATTTTACAGATACGGCTATAGAGGTATTTCTCAATACAATTTGGTCAGATGTGTGAATCCAAAGAGAAACATGTTAATTCTGAAACAAGTCCTGAGTAAAAGATTTTGATTTTTTCTTTTCTTTTCTTTTTTTTTTTTACCTATTCCACAGCCTTCTTGCCCCTGCAGAAACAAAAGAAATATAAGGATTAAGGAAAACTTCCCGCAGATTGAGGCCCATTTCTCTAACTTTTAAATGGCTTCACTTTTCTTTCCTTAGTTAAGGGCCCAGGTGACAGGAGAAGGGAGGGGAGGCCAGAGGCCTATGTGACTAAACTTTCTCACTGACCAACTTTGTTTAATTTGTAACTGTTTGGAAAAGCCAGTCAATTAAAATCCTACCCCCTCACTGGCTGGGCTACTTTTTGGTAATGGTAAATATAGTTAATAATAGAAATGAACACTTACTTACCCTTTTCTTCTGGGAAAAGCAGCCATTCCTCTTTGCAAAATCAAGACAATCACAGTTGCACATTTTCCCAAATCTTTGGCTGTATTGCAATGGTTGTTTCATTTTGTAATCTCCAACTAAACATTTCCTAACCATGGATTAACAATATAGTTACTGACTGGTTTCTTTTAACAGTATTTATCCAACATAACAAAATAAACTGCAATTTGTTATACTTTTTTTTTTTTACAAAACATTTTATAAATATTTTTACAAAATGTATACAAAGCAATTTCAAGTGAGACATACTATACAAATGAAGGTATTTAAGCAAATAAAGCCCACACCACACTAACAGTGAGTGACGCGTCCTCTTTTAAGTCAAGTCAGTCTGTAAGGCCTCCCTAATCTAACAAAGTCTACTAAATTCTTCAGAGCTAAAATAGTTCTTTTTCGTAATTGCCAGTTTAAAATTTGCTTTATCTTTAGGCAGTACTTAAGGACACAGAAAATCAAATGCTTAATAACAAGTTCACACTTTTCCACAACAACAACAGAAAAAAAAAAGAAAGAAAAGAAAATGATTTTGTTACTGAGTACTAAAACTTAACCTTGACTAATGAACCTGGACAATTGAACGCTGGCCATTGGAGGCTGGGCTCTTACCCTTCACCAGAGGGGACTCGACATGCGAGTTATGACCTAATCACAGGAGTAAAATACATTTTGTAATCTTCATTTGTCATTATCTAGAATCTTTCCTCCATAAAAAGTAAACTTACATACAAGGACACAAAAATTTACAAGTTTCATTTTGGTAAATTAGGCTCTCCATTTGCTAGACAATGTCAGGGCTTAAAAAAACCCTTTAAGATGGTATATTGAGAAGCTGGGACGGGGGGCAGGGCAGAAAGAGAGGTGACAAGTGTACATGAAGCTTGTCTTGTCTCTTAAGAATTCCACTGATTCAGGAATTAATGTAACTCATCAGTAGCCTCTGTGAAGGCTCTAGGTATAAATTTCCACAAAGAGAAGAATATGATCAGGAGGGACCACCTTTAAGTCTTGCTAGGGATTAGGGGAGCATGAGCCCTAAGAGAAGAAGAGCCTATGAAATCATGAGGTTCAGGGCAGGGTGTTACCCTAGGGCTGCCCAGACAGAAAGTTCCAACTGGCAATACCAACTTATCTTTCTAACATGTTACAATACAGAAAAAGGGGAAATCTGCAACTTGGACATTGGCACAAATAAGGAAAACATGGCAACCGTAAAATGGCCCAGATTTTCCAATTTCTGTTGGTTTGGGGCTAGGAGTGGGGAGAAGGTATTTTGCTTTTGTGAAGACTAGCTGTCTCACAGGGTTTCTCTGTGTGTGTGTCTGGGGTGGGAAGGGGGCGGCACAAAGGGGCAGGGAGAGTCTAGGTCTTCTGTTGCTGTATTTTCTAGTAATCAGAAGCATTCCTTTCTTTTGCAGGCCAATCTGGAAAAGAATACCCAGTATGATGACAATGGGGTCCTCCCTATTCTGGGGAAGACCATACGCAGATCTTGGCAACGTGTTACAGTGAAGACCAGTGGAGATGGACAGAATACACGAGAGCCCATGCACACGAGAGGGAGAGTGAGTGTGCACACACTGCAGCCAAAACGACCTCTGGGTCTGAGCAGCTCAGCACGTGCACACAGGTGTGTACGAGGCTACATATAAAATACCGTATGTAGCTTTCCCAGTGCTAGGAGATACTGATGGTTACCATGACGTTGAGAATGAAAGTGACCACAGAAATGGGATGACCTGGGGCAGGTATACAAGAAAGGAAAATGGGGAAAGCTCCCTGAAAAGAAATATAAATAAATAAAGCAGTAAGTCACGCTCACGATCATGAACATGGGCCAAACACAAACAATGACAGGGCTTGTCCTTTGGATCTCGAGTGGGAATCCCGTGTCTCAGATCTTTCCTCTCAGTGGTGGGCTGCCTGGTTACCTTTGGTTTGTCTGTGTTTTGGTAATGATTGCTGCCGGGAGTGACTACTGTTCTCAGACAACAAGAAGCGGAAACAAGGCCAAAGTCCCCTTACAGTTTAAGATAAGAAATTACAACATAGTTTTCAAATGAAAGTGCTTTTGACGCTTGGCTATTTGTAGTGGGAGAGGGTGCAAAGAGAGGTAAAATGAAACAAACCCAGCAAACCAACAAAAACATACATCGTATGTTGACTAGATCCAATTACAGAATGCAAAACGCTTGGTTTTTCTCAATAGTTGACATATGTATGCTTTTACATATATACACATTCGATCCCTCAGGGCTCTAGCCCGGCCTCCCCCGTACACGCGCCAATTCACCGGTTTCCATTTTCCTTTTTGTAGCCTGGTGAAATTACCTCAGGTCATGCTGTCACAACTCAGAACCAAGTATTCCCTAGATGAAATTCGATGCGGGTGTGCTGAAGAGGTGAGTTTTGCTCCAGGAGCGTCAGAAAAGCACTTGAACGATGAACAAGGAAGCCCTGCAGAGCCGGGCTCGTGCGCTACGGGTGCTCGCACTGGGGCTGCGGGGCCCCGCGGAGCCAGGACTATCTGCTCAGGGACGGCCGGGGGAGAGCCGCACGGTCTCCTGGCCAACGACAACCCCAAAGCCCCCCAAAGCCAAAATTTGGAGATGCAGTGGGATACTCTTTAAAAAGTGTCTTCTACCAGTCCTGTTTGATTTTCTTTAGTAAGTCTGTTCTTTTCAAATGACTTATGATTGTCAGAATTTTACCCAGGGTCAAGTGTACTGTGATCTCATTGAGTTACAGTGTTTTTTTGTTTTTTAAATAAAACAAATTTTAAAAAATGACTAAGCACTTTCAAAACACTTGAAATGTGTAGGGCCTATCAGACTGCTTTCTAACAAGGATCAGTTTTACTAGAGGATTTCCCTGTAACCACGACGAGTATTGCTCTTAAACAAAGAATGGGATTGAGATTAGAAAGAATAACCTGTGATGAAAGATCAAGCAGGCTGGAGACAGGAGACCGTTTCCATTGCTTTTGCCAGGAAAGGATGTAACTTGTCCGGGGCGGGGTCTCGGGGCGGGGCAGGGGGCCTGTGGCTACTAACACTCTAGGATACTATTTACAGCTGCTTCTAAAATGGAATCAGTTTCTACAACGCCTTCATTGTGGTCCGGGATGAACTTTTCCAGGCAGTTTTCCTGCGAAGCCATTGGAGAAAAATTGGGGAAATCTAACTCAACAGAGCCGCTAACCGTGGGGTCACTTTGGGGCTGCCGCCCAGCCTTTTTGAGTTCCAAGATATTCTTAAAAGTTGTTTCTAAACTCTTAGTGAGCTGGAGGTCAGGCTGGGGCTCACCAGACCCTTTCATGATGTCTGTGTGTAAAACTTCATTCTTTGGAGAACTCCTCAGAGTCTTGTCCTGGAAGGAGCTGTTACACGTCATCTCCAGGTGAGAATCCACTAGGATGCTTGAGAGTTTGCTCTCAGGACCATGATCAGGTCTGGACGAGTTCTTCCGGTGCCCTTCGGGGCCAGGAGAGCACTCGCCACCTTTCACTGAGTCTCTCCGGCTGGTTTTGTCTTCGGATGCACTCCGGTACTGAACTAAGCCCATTTTGTCAAATTTTGGTGCTCTACCGAGGCATTCGGTTTTTTTAGAAGTGTTTCCTTCTGCAGAGACCACGATGTGATTAGGCACTAGATGAAACTGGTCATGATTCGTTGGTTCTGCCTGGCCTGGTTTGGCTCGGTCTCTACCCTGGGCCTTAGCCGTCAGATGCACAGAGCTGGTTGTTTTACAGCCATGCTGGTCACTCCGGCCAAACTGCGTCTCATGAGCAGCCTTATCAAATTTGAAGGAACAACAGAAATCAGCCTGAAAACCCTCTGGAAACGGAAACAAAAGAGAACATTAATGAAAAAACTGAGAGTAAGGGTAAGGGCTGGACAGCAGCCCTTCGTGGGGCAGATGCAAACTCACCCCCAGCCCAGCCCAGCCAGTCAGCCTTTCCCATCCACGGGAAAGCAGAAGCACAGTGCTAGAGGGCACATCCTATAAAAGGAACGGAGCTGAGGGGGCCGTGGGGCCGCAGCTTCTAGACGAGCTTAAATCTCTTCGAAAAGGGGATTTGCTGGATGACAAACGGGAAAACCGAATGTACAGAAAGCTCCACTTTGTCTTCATCTCTTATTGTAGTTTTTCATCAGTTATTTATTAATGACTACTTTGGAATGGTCTGAACACAGAAATCAGATGCTAGTGTCAGCCTCGTTTCTTCTGTGGGGCAGAGGGCCCTGAGGTGAGGCTCTGGGAGGGGAAGACACACCTACTTGTCTTTGGGTGATGGCGCTTCCATCCCTCTGGACACACTGGAGGGGACCTGCCGTAACTAGAGGCACTTTGCCAGGACACAAAACGAATGGTCAACACACATCCAAAGTGGTATCTGCTTGGAAGGACAGGGGTGTGGAGGAACCGGGCCGGACAGAGTGCTGACTCATGCCAGGCTCGAAGAGCCAAGGATGGCAAGGGGGGTGTGAGTGAGGATTTAGGGGGTGGGGTTACGGAGGGAGGGGGGCAGACTGCCATCATGCAAGGGCAAAAAAAGTGTGCACTCTTTATGTAATGAGAGTGAAAAAGGGCTTTGATGACAACCTAGAAAACCACAAACATGAGTTTATTCACTAAATCCCAAAATACGAGCTGTAGGGGATAGAGCCTTGAAATAAAAAAAGATGATTGCACTCAACAAATACCAGCTGTGCAGGTACAGGACAGAGGAGGGTGTCACACCCGCCTGGGTGATGCTGTGCCTCAGGGGCTGGGACAGAGGAGGAGGATTTAGCCACAAGCCCAATTCACCAAAAGGCAAGGGGTGATTTCAGGGTCTAAGAAAAAGGGGGAGAAATATATCCCACATAAATTATTCTCTTGTTTTTTGGAAAGATTTGAGGATTCTCCTAGGTGTACAGCAATTCTTCAGGACTCTCCTTTACACTGAGTGTGAGGACCATGTATTCTCTTTGAAAATTTCTTGAGCCACATCAAACACAAGGCAAAACCTTGATATTTAAGTAACAGAAGATGTGAGAGGAATGTGAGTTAAGCTACAGGAAAGTAATGGTCCAAGAGTAGAGGAATGGATTACCTGAATTATCAAATTGATGTATTAAAAGTGTATTAAATATTATTTTGAAGACTATAGCAACAGGATAAAAACTTCAGTTGAATTAAATGGAAGAAACTAAGAATAACAAAATCATAAAAATATAAAAATGATGTATGCAAACAGGAAGGAGAATTGGAAGAAAACTTGGAGACGTAAGAACGTTTCTTTTTACAGAATGGTGAAAGTACAGGCAAAACTCGAATTGAATTGTTATGTTATCTGATTTAAAAGAATTTTAGAGGCTACAAAAAAGTAAAGAGAATTCATTTTTAAAAGGCAGAATGGGGGTCAAGTCTAGCACGTATGCAGTTGGTGGACGCTGATGGAGTGAGGGATGAGTACTTACAGGGAACACTCCAATCTACCAGCTTGTGGGCAGGGACTGTGTTGTGCTGACTACCCCCAGCAATGCCCTGCACACAGTAAGACAACTCAATAATTGGCTGAGGTTAAATTGCTTCTGGGAAGGCTTCTGGTTTACTTTACTTCTCATAAACTACTGAGAAATTTCAGTGTACAGTGAGGAAGAAGAATCACTTAACTGAATGTAAAACTCCAGCTTGGATTTTACAGAATATAGACCTTCCCAGAGTATTCACATTCCGCTCTCAACTCCGGGTTTTTTCTCCCCAGCATTCATATCTACCTTCAGGTTTCACACCCAAAGGTCAGTTCAGATAGTCTCCCCAAAGCCACAGCCCCGGAGCCACGGCAGCTGGTCTCCTTTGCTTTTACTCTGACGTTCCTTACCAGGGTCTACAAGTGCCAGACGCTTGTCCCGGGACAGAGAAGCTCTTTCTTCCTGGTTAAACATTCTATCGATCATCACCATCTCAGCAGAGGGATTGATCCGCTGAAAATGAGACAGTCTAGTCATTTCAGGTACCTTTTAAACAAGTGTGAACATCTCTGTGTCTTTCGAACAAAGTAAGCGATCAGAAAGGAGAAGGTGGTGTCCAGGTTCTGGTCATGTCCCGTTTAGTCACCTTTATCCTTGCCACATAGGATACATTTCTTCACCATGTAATTCTTCGGAAAAAAGTAATTTACCACAATGGTACAAACTTTAAAAGGTACAACAGGGGAAAAGTAAACCTTCCTTCTCCGCCTCCGCTGTGCTCTGTCTTCCCCCAGCCTGGCGCCCTCCCTCAAGGCAGAGTCATTTAATAAGCTTTTCCAGAGATATATTCTGCACACACCCAAATTTACATTCTTCTTCCTTTGTTTATTTTGCACACAGATGGCAGCTACTGTTCTGTACCTTCCTTATTTCCTCCTCTGCTTAATAATAAGTTGGAAATCTCGTCATTAGGATGAGCTTTGACTTTATATTCTGCTATGCTATAGCTGTGTTTTTTTATTAAGGCTTTCTTTAAAGTTATTTTTTGCCATACAGAAACAAATCTTTTTTTTTTTTCAGAATCAAATCTTCAATTGTATTTCTGGGTCTTACTTAACATAAAAATTCATGGCAGACATGAGATAACCTGTTCGAATAATTTGTCCATTTGTCCAAATTTTTCCCAGGGTCCTTTTCTCAGAGATGATAGAGTTAATCTTTTTGATATTTCAGAGTTTTGTTTCAGAAATGGTCCTTAATATAAAAACAACTATTTCAGACTTTGGTGGCACAATTTTAAAAAAGATACATAAGTCCAGGCAGACCTCATTTTACTGTGCTTCATTTCATTGTGCTTCGCAGATATGGCAGGGGTTTTGTTTGTTTGTTTGTATTTAATACAAATTGAAGGTCTGTGGTGACCCTGCATTGAGCAAGTATACCAGCACCATTTTTTCCCATCAACATTTGCTCACTTCATGTCTCTGTGTCACATTTTGGTAGCTCTCCCAACATTTCAAACCCTCCAGCGAAAAGATTATAACTCACTGAAGGTGTAGAGGATGGTTAGCATTTTTTAGCAATAAAGTATTTTTTAATTAAGTTATGAACATTGTTGTTTTAGACTACAGTATAGTGTAAACATAACTTTGTATGCCCTGGGAAGCCAAAAAACCCGTGACTTTATTGTGATACTAGCTTTATTGCAGTGGTCTGGAACTAATCCACACTGTCTTCAAGGTGTGCCTCTAAATATATATATTTTAGTAAATACAAACACATGTACATACGTATTCACACTATATTGCATATGTGTATAATGTAGTTCAGCTAATCTCCGAGACTACATTTTCAAAGTTGATCTCAAATTGAATGCTGCTTGTAGGAGACCAATTTATTAAAGTCTATGTGACTTTAGAACTGCTTGTAAAATCTCAGATAGGTTTGGTCTTTCCATCATTTTCTGGGATATCTTACTCCTTTCTCCAGATAACTGGTGCTTTAAAACTAACTTTAGATTCTATTTGGGGTGATGAAAATGTTCTGGAATTAGAGAGTGGTGATGGTCGCACAGCCTTGTGAATATACTAAAAACCATCAGGTTGTACATTTTAAAGTTAAGCATGACTTTTATGACATAGTAATGATCTCTCAATTGAAAACGAGACAAAACTAATTTTAACATCTGTCGCCACCTCATCTTTTCAGGTGTTATTCTGAACAGTCTTCACTGAAGTGTCACTGGTCCTCTCCCATGTCTTCTAGTCGGTGCGCGGCAGTAGGCAGCACCAGCGTGTGGATGGGGGTCAGGCAGTCCTGCTCTGTATCCCAGCTCTGCTACTTACATGCAGACTTCCTGGCTGTGTGGTGGTGGGCAAATTATGTAACTAAGGCCCTCATTCCTCATTCGAACCAGGAAAGCAGTGGCACTGAGTGTAATCAACCACGTAAAGCACAGCAAATGTAGCTGCTGGTAGGAGTAGGTATGGTCAGAGGTGAGTTTTCTACAATTTTAAACTATGTTGGGAAAATGTAATTCCTGAAGTTTTTCTTTCTGAATTGGTAGCTGTGACCTGCGGAGTTTTAAGAAACAAATGTGCTTGGTAGTGGAACTTTACCATGGCGTCTTCCAGGAGCAGGCATCTGTACTTGTTAAGCATAGCTTGGGTCCTTTTTAGGAGCTGAGTGGCAACTGTTTCAAATTCATTGTCAACTTTAAAGAGAGAGAGAGAAAAAAAAAAACAGTAAGAGAGCGTAAATCACCCACTAGGTTCTTTATTCCTTAGGATTAAAGTGCAGTGCTCTTCCACTGACTTCCTTCCAACAGCATGAAAAACTGAAACCGCTGAGACAATGAGTCCTACTGGTGGGCTGGGCAGACCAGTTTTACAGAATGACACCAACTAGTCCATGGCATCGTGCAGGTCATGGTACTGTGGCTATGTCCTTTGTCTGTCAGTCTCAAAGGCCTCATATTTTCCACTTCACTCTTCTCAGAGCCTCCACGCCCCTGGACACTGGATGTGGACACTCTCCCTGGGCCTCTGTCCCAGGGAGGGGAGGCTCACAGCAGACTGATGGCTGCACTCCGATCAGAGACCCCGGTCTCAGGGAGCAAGACTGGCAGCAGCTGAGGGAGGGACTGAAGCGGTGGAGGGGACCAATGGGGTCAAGGTGGGAATGGTGCTGAGAAGGAGGGGAGAACCCAGCAGCACCCCATGAGAGGCAGCAGGGCCAGGCGTCAGAACGGGCCGAGTTCTAGGTTGGGACAAGGGGACCTTATCTCTAAAATTTTTACCAGTTTTCTGATGTACAGCAATGCCGTGGACTCACTTTGGAACTTCAAAGAATGCTCTTCGGGAGCTAGTGTCTACCTAATTCATAAAACCGGCAGTAACAGCTAAGGGTATGCATTCCGCCTAAATGCAAGGACCGTGCCTAGATCACCGCGCAGGCCACCCCGTCCAGGGCCATCCTGTCCACAGCCAGCAGTCCAAACAGGGCTCTGGATTCACTGCCCACAAATCTGTCCTTAAAATACTCTTTTGGGTATCCTTTCACGGAATGGTGAGAAGACCAAGTCACAGTCCTAAACAGGGACTGGGAAATCGAGTAAACTGGGAACGTGTTAGGTCTGTGATGAAAAACAGTAACCTGGCCACCATCTGGGGGCCACGTGGCTCCGACTCTTCTGTGGGGCGTCCCCAGGAGGGTGTCTGGTGTCAAGGTGGCACTCTGGGCTTCCAGCCTGTTTACCTTTCTTCAGGTCTTCCTCCGAGGGCATGGAGCCCTGGCACACGTGGTAGGAGAGCAGCCTCTGCACCGCGTCACTCAGTGAGCGGAAGTGACTTTTGTCAGGTGTCACAGCGTAGGCTTGGTCCCTCTGTAACTGCTGGAGAATGCTGGAAAAGAGAAATTGCCAGTGTCACGTGCAGTCATCGTGCAGCACGATGGTCGTTTACATGCAAAGACAATGAGACGCATGGGAGTGTATCATTCATAGGACTGCAGTTCTGTTTTTCCTTCAGTTTTATACTTTGTACAACATGGTGGGTTTACAGTTTAATCTAACCATTTGTACTGGGGACTCAAACTATGACCCTGGTCTCAAAGCACTGCGTTCCCACCAGCCATTCAAGTGCGGACGCTCACACAGACCTTGGCAATGCCTGACCACTGGCCGGCTAAGCTTATGGTAACATTTCTGCTCTGGACACAGGAGCTTATCAGACTGTGCTCCTCCTTGGAGAAACGTAGGCCAATCAAAGGATATGTGGTTGCTAAAAAGACAAAGAACTATTCTCCTTAAGAACAGAAGGGTAAACAATAGGCTCAAACGACATTTGCCATATTTATAGGTCCCTAACAGAAACAAACTACAGGGAAAGAAATCCAAAGTATATTTTTTAAACATATATGATTATAACCTGACTTCTGTTGTATGTGTATTTTTAATTTTCTATTGAATGTAGTTGATTTACAATGTTAGTTCCAGGTATACAGCAAAGTGATGCAGTTATTGGCTTCTGCTGTATATTTGTTGAAGGTTAGGAACCTAGAAAAATGTTCAGAATGAGTCATTTGCGAAGGTAACTCACAAAGCTCCTTTCGTTAGCTGTTTTGCAGCAGGCCTCTTCTGTCCTCCCGAATGACTATCCACCTAAAGAAGAAACACACCTCTTATTATTCCCTTTTGTGGGAAAAATAAGCAGAATACAGTTACACATAATGGACACTATGTTTCAAATGTTTTCAACTCCCCATCAAGAGCAGATTCTAAGAATGTAGAATTTGATGCTGAAAAAGAAAACAAGGAGCCCACAGACCATGTAGCAAAGTGGCAAGATTGTAGAAAGCTGTACTATCAGTTCCTGAAAGGACTCGGCTTGTGCCTTAAAGCCTCGATCCCCAACTCCCTCTGCAAATGCTTCATTATATTTTTGAAGAAATATATTTGTAAGTACCAACTCCATGAACATCTGAAAATTCAGTAGATATCCCCTAATGCATCTTCTCAGCAATAAATAAGGGAGCAAACACTTTTGTGCTCCTGTTAAATCCAGTCCAAGTCTGTGATCCAGCAGGGCATTTCTTAGATCGTGTTAAGGAATAAATATGCCTTCTGCCAGAACCTGAGAACTGAACCAAACCCCTCACTGAGTGCTCCAGGCAGGCCCAGACTATCACAAGTTTCATTCAACTAGTAACTGGTAAGTTTGATGGAGAAGAAACTAAGGACTTAGAAAGCTGAAAACAAAAATTTTTTTCCTTCTTTTTTAGACCAGTGGATGGGTTAAGAGATCATAGGGACTGACTGCTTCATACATTCCTGCAGGGGAAAAAAAAAATCCCCTGTATAACTAAGAGGAACAGAGCCTCTTTGATGGGATAATGATCATCATCATTCAGCAGTAAACTGTGTTTTCTGAGTGCCTACTATGTGTTGGCTGCTGGCATATTATTAATTCATGAGGAAATGACAGCACTGTAAACATGCGAGAAACAGAACAGACACATTCATCCCATAAACGTTAGCATAACAAGGCCTGGCCAGCAGAGAAGGTCTTCAGTGAGCACTTCTGTGGCACTGCGATGGGCTGACTGCAGATGACACCAGACAGAAAGTAGCAAGCAGAAGGTGACGCGACCGCCTTTTCTTTCAGTGATGCTGAACATTCAGAAGAAGCTATGCCAACTGTCCTCTACCTGCACAGCTGGCTGGCCAGGAGATGATCCAACTCCTTTTTCCTGCTGTGGCTGTGCCGTTCCTAAGGACGCCGGTATAACTTTGCTTCCAGAATCCTGCCCTGTTAGAATTAACACATGAAACAGTGTTCAACAGAAACAGTAAATCAGGCTCCTTGTGGAACCCCTAGAGTCCAAAGTGCACAAATTACTGAACATTGTGGAAGGGATTTCTTAACCTTGGATGCCTGTGTGAGCAAGGAGAGCAGGAAGTACATTTACCTACCAAAGCTCGAGAGGCAGAGGTCAGGATTACAAATGCCGATTTAGGTGACAAAGAGAAGTAAGTACATAAATAAATGGTAATAAATAAAAGCTGTCAATGCTACAGTTTCAAATTACTTAAGTCTAAGGAACTGGTCTCAAGCCAGTGATCTGTCAGCACTACCGAACTCCAAAACACAACTTAAGGAAAGGGAGGCCCAAACAGGGTACTGGCCGGGACAGTTCGTGCTTTCGGCATTTCCAGTACTTATTGAGCAATGTAGGCATTCAAAGCTTTAGAAGAAATAGAAGACACGGCCCACGATGTTTTTTTTGTCTTGGGGGGGATTCTAAATATACATATATAAAGCAAGGTGAGGAGAATTACAGAGTCACACTGCATGTAGTACTAGATTTCATTGTTTCTAAGCAGCACATCTTTTTCCACATCATTTAACATGTCATAATTTAAACAGAAGTGCTTTTATTTCTTATTAGTATATAAAATGATGGTACAGAAGGATACAGAAAGAAGAAAGGATCAGAGTGGAGGTGAGGCTGAGTGGGCAAGGTGCAGAATGAGGAGTGTGTGAGGAGGCCCTGGGCCACGGGGACAGGACAGACTGAGGACCACCGACAGCGAGGGCTCCTGACCTGGCAGTGTGGTGCTCAGGAGGCCGGGGATGGGTGCTTGCCTCAGGCCATCTGCTGTCTTGGGAGCAGAAATGGGGGATGTCTGATTCAAACTTTTTTTCTGAGCCTGTGAAAAATAATGCCAAGATAGAAAAATGACTTTCATGACTTACAGCTTTAGCAGATTACTTAAAACACCAACCAAGCCTGTCAATGACTATCTGGCATCACCTTCAGGTTAGATTATAAAACAAAAGTTTAAAAACATGATTCTCCTGTCACACTGAGAGAAGTGCAAAAAGTCCCCTTGACAATCCACAGGCAGGCTGAATTTTCTCGACGCCTTTCAGGAGGGCTGCTGAGTTGATTGATACCACATTGCTTTCTTGCTCCCGGAACTGCTGTGTTCATGGTGCTCAGATGCAAAGCTGGGCCTGGAACTCAATTTCTACCCCCAACAGTTTCCATCCTTGGTGGTTTTATATCACGCCTGCAAGGATTATGACCTCGACTACCAGTTCCTACGTGGGGTCTGTAGGGACACTAAGCACAGATCAGGGCCAAGCACCACCCCCAAATCTACTGTCAACACTTGCTGCTCGCTGTGTAGATGACCTAAAGGACACTCCACCCCTGCCATCGGGGATGTCTCTAGTTCGTGTCATGACAACCTCAGGTAGCATGTTAACTGGGAAATGTAAATTAAACTGAATATTAGCCCAAGCAAAATATTATCAGGAAAATTAATCTGATGTTTAAACTGTAGTGTGCTGCTTTTCTATAAGTAAGGAAGATGAACTGTGAGATGTTTAAGGACTAACAAGTTCCCTTTGGCTCTAAAAAAATCTGTTATCTCTATAATGCATTTAAATTAGGGTAATAAAGGGTTTCTAAACTACTCCCAGTTTTTAATCCTCTATGTCATTACTACTTCATAGTACAGTGAGTTTTCAGTTTTTCCTTCAGTCTTATAGTTTGTATATCAGCAGTGGATTTAGATTGAGTCTAACCACCCCCGTGGGTGATGACCTGTGACCTTGGCCTAAGAAAACGTTCCCACCAACCATTCACATATGGCCACTCACACAGACCTTAGCAATGCCTGACCACTGGCCAACTAAGCTCATGTTAATATTTCTGTTCTAAACAATGAAGTATTTGAAACACTTAATGATGTATTTGGTTCTCTTTTCTAATATAGAAATGGAAAGGGCTTTGACTTCACCCAAGAAAGGCTGGCGGAGGTGGGAAATGTCCCCTCGCTCATCCTTCCGTTAGCAGGGATGGGACCTGCACCTGTTAGGTGCTGGGCAATGCAGCCTCAGTGAGACGCCCCTGGGCGGCGTCTCCCAGTTTTCACAGCATTTCTCCCAGAACAGAACTCCACACTCTCCTACTATAGGGAAGCTCTTCACAGGGGGGACACCATGCTGTGCGGACGCCTGGGGCAAACAATGAGCACAGGCCTTCCCCACAAATATTTCCAGGGATGAACAGGAAGAGCCACCTTGAATAAAAAACAAACAGATAAAAGTTTGGAAAACACGGTCTAATAGGACAAAGCTATATTCTAGATGGGACTCTGGAATAACGAGATCAGCAAATGAACAGATGAACCAGGATTAATATGTTCAAATGATGGAAGCCCTCCTTCCTGGCAGTACTGCCAGGACACAGCATTTCTGGAATCTCTTTCAATATGCTGAGGTCACATGAAACAGAAGAGTCGCCCTTACTACCTCAGAGCACACAACTTTTTTTTTTTTAGATAAATCAATGGCATTACCCAGCCTGATTTCCCTCCTTATTTATCAGACATGACCTTGAATGACTCCTAGCGATTAAACAGATAAAATAAAACAAAGTACATGTATACATAAGAAATAAAACTGTAAGAAAAGCAAGGAAGAAATCACCATGAAAGTCAGGAGAGGGGCTGAGGTTAGGAAGGCACGTGGAAGGGGGTGGTTTCGGGGGTACTGGTAATCTATTTCTTGAGTGGTTACATGTATGGGTATTTGCTTTACAATTATTTGTTAACTGTACATTTATGTCTTATGCATTTTTCTAAATGTGTTTTTTCATAATACAAGAGAGTAAAAAGAAAAAAAAAACTCTGAACAATCTAATCGAATGTCAAAGCTTGAAAATTTGCCATCATTTAAGGGGATAATACACTGTTAAAAACAAGGTTACTAGCTGTAGGGACGCCTCCTCATTGTGGCCCTCCCCCCAGGACTAGACCATCTCTCCAGTTGTTACGCTGTCTCGGGTAACACGGAGGTCGACGGGGCGGGAAGGGCCAGGGTGGTGGCAGAACGGTAATCCTCTGCGGAGCTTGGTTTGGCCTTCACACTGGAATCCCCTCCATTCACCAGGCCTGTATGTTTGGAAAGCTCTGCCACCCTGGGAACTGCTGTTTCCAGATGTTCGCTGCTCATGGGTGGCTCCCAGTCCTCTCATTTTCAGGGCAGGACTTTAGTCTGTCTGGTCACCGTGTATCCCCAGCACTAGAACAGGGCCTGGCAGCACAGTGAGCACATGGTAAATTGTTTTTAAATGAAAATAAGTGAGTGACTTCCACTGCAGCATTCGTCACAGGGGTCTGGACTTCCTCCCAGCCCTCCCCTCGTCCCCAGGAGCAAGCAACTTCCTCTCATTTTCCCCAGATTTAGGTTGCCCCCCAACTGACAATCTCTTCCAGAAATAAAATTTATCATTCTTTTTTTTTCTTTCTGAACTCTTAGAGAAGACTTGCTCTTGAAATATATTTTCTTTACAGATAAAGCAGCTATTTCAGGATATTTTGTTGAGAACTTGGCTCCAAGAACTCTGCTCATGTCAATGTATAATTTTAACTCTTTAGACCCTGTGCATTATCTTGACATCATGTGAATATACAGAAATCCCCCAATGCATCAGAATACTCAATATACCCCTCACCCTCTGTGGAACACTTTGTAAGACGCCGGCTACAAACTAGAAGGTGATTTTCATCAAGCGACATGTGTTTGCTGAATACAGGAGGCCATCTGGGATCTTCCCTGCCCACACTCTCCTCTGGGAATTGCCCCACTGCCACAGAGATGGGTTGGAGCTGGCGTGGGTGGGGAACACAAAGGTTGTTACCTGCTAGAGGGCATTAAAAGCCAGAATCCAGGCAATAAGCATCTTTTCTCCCCATGGAAAAGTGCCAAGCCTGCCAGTGAGCAGCTCTGCCCAGATGGGTGCCTTTTTCTGTTTCGGCTCAGAGGGGCACTTTTCCCTAATTTAACAAAGGCCCTACATGGAGCAGCAAGGGCTCCACGTGGCCACTTCCTCAGGTCACCTCCTGCCCCCTCCTCTGGTCAAGGGTGACTGAACCACGGGTGGGCCAATCAGATTCTCTCTCCTTGGATTTTTAGAATGGGGGGGGTGGGGAGGAATACCCAAGGGCAGCGGTTGTCAAATGCAGGTTTACAGACTGATTGCATCAGGATCACCTCGGGGAGCTCCTGAAAGACAAAGTTTCTGGGTTCCATCCACAAAGACTGATTCAGAAATCTGATGCAGGTCTTTAGGAATCTGTAATTTCAGAAAGCCCTCCAGTTGATTCTGATGCACTGTGAAGTCTTGGAAACCACTGCACTTGCCAGTCTCTGTTAAATGCTTGGATAATCTTGTGAAGCTGGCCTGGGGTGGGCACTGCAGTCCGGAAGAGTGAGACAGAACCTAAAGGAGAGAAGAGGCCGAGGGAACAGCAGAGCACCCAGCTTCTGACCCTTATAAAGGAACTACACTACACTCCTCCATGTCCTCCTTTTTCGCTAAACATGTTAGGGTGCGTTTTGGTAGCTGCAACCCAAAGTGCCTTGACTAAGACACCTGGGTGTCCACGGAATACATAGCACTGTGGAAACCACAGGAAGTCAGCCGAAGGCTACCACACAGTCTCCACCCTCTGAACGTTCACCATTCAAAAAACACCCAGGCCCACGGAACACGATCCATCAGTGCACCACATATGGTGTCCACCCTCAGCTGGGCCCTCATGCCTGACCATTTTCCAATGAATGCTATTTCCTTATCTTCCAACCTGTCAGCCAGGTGAGAATTCACCCAACTTTCTACCACCAGGGCTACCACCTTACCTGCATCCCCATTCATTCGTCCCTTCCCCTTCTCTTGTTACAATGGAAGAAGCATCTCTCCTTTTTTCCACAAAGAATCCCACCAGGGTTCTAGAGCTCGTGTCCTTCTCCTTCCCATCAGCTTTGAGTAAAGCTCAAGCCTTTCTCTTTTCTTATAAAACCACCCCCACCCCCCGACTCCACACACCCTGGAGCTGCTGCAGTGTCAGTTACCATCATTTTTCTGGAATTGTCTGTGCTCATCCCACACCTCCCCTCCCCTCAGTCCACTGCGATCTGGCTTCCACATGTATCACTCCATGGATACAAATCACGCCAAGGTCAACAACAGCCTCCTTGTTGCTAAATGTGTCGGAAACATTCCAATCCTGACTCCCACCGACTTCCCAGTGACACTCCAGCCCGTGGACCCCCGCCCTCCCACCTGCCAAGTTTTCCTTTTTTAGCTTCCAAAATGCTGAACCTACTGGCTTTACTCCTCCCTGGGAGATTCCAAGTCTCTCCCGTGGACTCCTCTCTGTGTCCATCCAGTGCTTTGGGGTCCTCTTCTGGCCGCTTTTCCTCTCTCTTTACACACTCTTCCTGATCCATTTCATCCACTCTCACTGCTTCCAGTGTAACAGATGTGCTGACCCATCCTACCTCAGCACACATTTCAGGCCATATCTCAGTGTGTACAGCTGTTCCCATACAAGCTGGTTGTCCCACAGGTACACTTGAACACATCTTAAACCAAACACAGAACAACCCTTAAAATCACAATTTCTTCCCATGTTCTCTTTTCAGTGAACCTGGGCGTCACTGGCAGGACCTCTGTGTCATCATATTTCTCCACTATAGCCAACCATCAAAAGTTCTATTTAACCTGCCTCAAATTCATGCACTGCTTACCATTTCTACTGCCACTGGGCTAGTCTGAGTTTTCCCTATTTCTAGGTTATGACACTGGCTCCTTAACGTGACATCAAGGTCCTGTATGATTTAGTGCTTGCTTACC